CTGTTCTTTACTTTGCATTCCATAATTGACCTAAACAAACTAATACAGAGGTGATACTTGTGTGGGTTAAATAAACCTAACTGAATGAAAGTCAAGTAAAAGTTGGATGAGTGAAGATCACTGTTCAGGTAGCTCGGATAAGAAGATCCAGTACTTGGTGGTTAGTGTATTCTCTGAGCTTTGATATTTTGTCGTAAGGGTTTCATCGCTGGGATTAGTGACATCTTCAGCATTTCAAAATCTAGTACAACTGTGAAAAAAGCAGGGTTTTATCCAGTTGCTTTTCCAGTCTGAAGTTGGTTTCTATCAGAATTCAGTATGCGTCAGGTATTTATTTAAAACTGCTGAACACTGAGCAGATATTTCAATTTGTTTGATACTTTATGTAACAATGGGTTCTTAGACTTTAGACAGTGTTTTGTCACCGAATCAGTGGAACCTATTATAGTGGTGCTCATCAATGGAACCTTGGTTGGGTCACGACGCAGCACAACCTATCTTCCGGAGTTTAAAAGTTTTCCTGCCACAGCAGATTACTTAGATGATTTGAAAGTCACTATTATAGACTAGCATCTAGGGCAAGTGGCGGTTGGCATTAATTTCTGATGCGAAATAAACATTCATATGTGATAAAGGTTTTAACCACGGATTACCATTTTTATATCTTTACAGTGACTTGATACAGGCTGAATTATGTAGATGTGGACGCGAGTACAAATACCTTCAGATTCCACCCTTAATAGTCAATCACTTTCTCGGCAAATGAAAAAGGAGGTATGATAATAGAAAGGTGTATTTACAACGTCAACTGCAACGTCAACAATAAATACAAAATACAAGGTTTATATATTCTACAGTGGCCTTGGCTATTTCCATGGCTTTCTAGATATAAATCCTATTAGCTTTTCATCTCTTCAATGAACTGGATACTTGGACGTTGGTTCACCCATTGTTTCCGCAAACTTTGAAGCAAAGTGATTGGTTGAAAAAAGCTTTAACGGTTTTCGGCTACTTATGAAAATTTTGGTAAACTTGTCACAATATAACAAACATCAGTCAGGCAGCAGATAAAATCAGAGAGCATAAGAAAGCTTTATCGTTCTGGTTTAGAACTAATCAGCCACAAGCATCATTGACTTCATTCAGGATCAAGTTTAGGAAGCTTTCATTTCAAGTTAAGCAAGTTGCGACCCAACTGTTTTGTCGCGATTCGGTGGCCTATATCTTAAAACTTCAGTCAATTTAGAATATACCAGAAACATAATCTATCATAAAGCAACGCCAGACCTCTCTATCCATTAATTCGAAGCAGAAGTCACAAAAGATTTACATAAAATCTTTCAGAAAGCCATCTGTAAACATTACTAAGATGAAGAGACAACCGTTATTTAATTAATGTTGACCGAAAATCATTAGTTCATTGTCATATAGGCTATTTTGTTGACTGACATAAATCATGATTCACAGAGTGAAACAAAACAAAAAAGACGAATAGAAATGGATTCAATCAGCAGGAAAGTTTTTCGTATTCGATGAAAAATTGTGACTAAACAACATCCTTATTATGCATTATCTTCTTTCATGGACAAATGAAAAAGAAACAAGAAATCTTGAACAACATAAGTTTCTGGACATAAACAGTTCAGACTAACCACCTCGTATAAACTGAATAAATGACTGATGTGAAGTAAATTTATTTCTTTAAACTGACTTATTTGGGTAGAATTTCATCATGATGTCTTTACTGGATATAACGATAACCTATTATCTAATCGCTTCTCCAGTAAAATAATATAGACAAGTAGCAAAATTTATACAATACAGAAGTAGTAACATCATTCTTTATAATGTACTGTTTAAAAGTCAACTGCTTAAATCAATAAATTGCAACTCTTATTTTCCGAATTCAGTCAATATAAATCAAAGTAGTTTTCCCCATGAATTTATCACAGCTGGGGAGCTTCTGAAAACTACGTGCCTATCAACGTGGTAGAGGCTGAGCCTGGGACCGTCGGGTTTTACAATGTGCACTTAACTATTAAGCCGCTGGATTGGAGTACAGTGGCTTTCATTTTTCAACTTCTGTCATTTTTAGATGTAGTACCATTGTCATTATTTAATGTCATTAGTAGCCATATGTCCTCACGCCTAAATGAGGTAAGTGCAGTGTACTAATTAGCCTCTTGAGTTAATAAATAAGCAAGTAAAGACATAGAGATAATCACGTAGGATTTTAATGTCTTACAATTCCTATGTGAATGTAATGTGGTTGAAATCAAAAAGCTGTCATTTTTATTGTCATGAAAACGAAAATAAACAGATTCCAAATAAATAAATTGAAAATATTTTGCACTCATAAAATCAATAAACCACCAGTTTCACTAGTGCTTCACATTGAGATATCCAATGAAAACAGAAATAATACATTTTTAGCTAAATTCAAAAGACTTCCGAGCGTAATTTTATCTATTAAATTTGTTCAATTTCGAGACATCATTGTCATAATGACAAGAATACCCAACTGGCTGAAAGTCATTCTCACTATAAAAATGTAGAAAGAAAGCACTGACTGGAGGAGCAAACTCGGGTGCAAGAGGAAATCATAATAACAGGTATATTATTGACGGCATTACTTAGAATTTAAGAATTTCCCAAAAGTTTTGCTACGGAAAACAGATATAATAATAATAATATTTAGATAAGCTTCACATTAGATATGAAGTATTTCACCAATATTTAGCATTGTCAGTTATTTGGCATAAAAAATACATTAACTAGTGTACTGTTTATTGTCACACTACACTAAAACGGATAATTATTCTTAATCCTATTCATTTTGGAGGCTTGTGGGAATTTATTGATTTAAAGTAGGTATTCATCACGGACCGGTATCAGTTCTGGAACCGCTGAAAACTTGGGAGCACTAGGAAACTGTTTCGTCCTAGTATAGGACTCACTGACAGTGTGTACCCATGACCCAGTCAGGACTAGAAAATGGAACCCCAGGTACCTCAGTGAGTATGTTGCCATTGAGTCACTGGGTCGGTTCTCGGTGGTTCTCTAACTGATGTGAGTCCGTAATGAATTTCACCTTGAAAACAAGTAAAATTAAGGATAGTGGTCAATTTTCAAAACTCCAAAGTCTAGCCACATTTGATGGTCCATCTTATATTGTGGTGTAGAATATCACCAGACATAAGTTCATTTGACTTCAGTGATTCTAAACTATCAATCTAAAACTTTTACCCATCAGAATAATTGATTAGGTATTCTGATAATTATCTCACTGATGGTATCAGTTGTTCAGTGAAAGAAATAAGATCATAAGTTAGCTTTTTTCACAGCAGTAGGACATACAATAGACATTTTGATAATAAAACAGATAAAAACTAATCATAGCAAATAAATGCAACATTATACACAATCGTTTAACGAATTCACTCCGAACTTCAAGGAAATAACGAGTCTTAGGGAAAAAAACCTAGAACATTATAATGTTGATTCATGTTTCCATAAATCTTAACTGACGAAAGACAGAAAACACCGGGCTGAATTATAGAGCAAAGAATGAATAAATATAAAAAGATTAAGATTTTTAGAATTTTATCATTGACAGGAAATGAATAAATCCGCATTACATTGACCGAATCTGCATCATTTATCAAGTGTCTAGGGAGTGAAATCTAAAAAAGATGACTGATCATTGGCTTCAACGATTGATTTGATGTAATAGGTTGGTTGACCTTATTTCGTTTCTATTAGAATCAGTGGTTCTAACTGGTGTAGGGGGTAGACCAATCGTATAACATGTGTCAGAACATACGTTCACAACTACATCGGCTGATACAATTTTCTTCTCTAAAATCTTTTGGTAGACCTTAAACTTGTTGACTTCTTGTCTTTAATAAACGCTAATAACGTTTTGAAGATAACGGTGTTCAGATATCTATAATTATCTAATTTTGTTTCCTGTTGACAGTCCTCCATCAAAGCCTAACTATGCTTTATAATCAAAACCTTATGAACAGTCCTTTATCCTGATAACAACAGTGAAAAAAGTTTGGCTCTTCAGATCATGGTGGTTACAAGGATACTATTTTCTCACTTATCAACATAAGTAAATTTGAAAACGTTCAGTGAACTGACACAAATCCAGAGATGAAAAAGTACTAAAACAGGTCTATAGAACAAACTTTAATGTTGACAAAGAAACATTTTCTATCGGTGTTAGCGAAGCTATCGAGATCGTCAAAGTTCATAGTCATATTAGAAGACAATCTCGGCTCATTCAATATAATTACCAATGATTCCATCGAGTATAGCAACGAGAACCTTAATATCAGACCACCTTTTTCCATAGAAGCAATACTACTAAATTAAGTAACGTCTAAGTACACAAATAGGTTAACAGTGCGCGACCGATATAGTTTTTTAGTTTTTAGTACTCATTGCTGATTGAAGTTTACCAGTCAAGTTTGCAATACTGATACTGAGCTAACTGACACGAAACTGTGGTGCGCTGTACTTTTTAAGATGTTCGTCAAGGGTTATTCGTGGCCTTAGCAGCTAAATGGCAAATTCTTTGACTCCAGTAATAAGTGAGGCAGGTTCAAATTGTGAAAGGAACATCAGTTTCTTCATGATTTCAGATATAGCTTAATAAAAAGTGGTAGTAAAAGTCAAACCTGTGTTGAGCAGGACTATCTGGCACCTGAATCCTAATATCTTACACCTAAATATTAACCATTCTTTTGACAGTTTGAACACAAATTCAACTAATGATCATTACTTATTATTCAAGTGAAAAGTATGCTTAAAGCCAGTTACCTTATCATCATTACCAATAAGGCGGTAATAATGGAAGTCTTTGAATACATACTGAAATTGATAGTGTTTATCTCTTTCAAATTGAAGCAAAAACTCACCATATAACCCAGAATACTAAGTTAAAATAACTTGTTAAAAAATTATGAAACAAACAAAGAATTTTCTTCACTCACTACAACTGTCGGTAAAACCACAATGTGAGCCAATTTTTGAAAAGTTCCAAAAGCGCTTAACCAAGTACGGTTAACTGTTCGAACCACCTTATCACTCCATTGATATACTTGACTGATTATAAGAAAAAGGAATGTACAGTTACAGGTCAAAAAATCGAAACAATATATTTGTTTACATGATTTTTACCTATTTTTCTTGAATGATCTCTACTAATTAAAGTTTCTTCGAAATATTATGAGTTTGTACATAATAATAACTGAATATGATTTACCTGTAGACAAAGTACATTAATACAAGTGGTGATATAACAAAGAAACACTTTTGAATACTTAGGAAAGTATTTTTTCGGAAGATGATATCTGTGACTTCAACGCTAAAATACTATAGACTTTATTTTTTTAAAAGCTTTTATAACCCCAGCTTCAAGAGGATGCCAACTGATTTGTAAGAATCCTCTAATTGATTATGGCAAAACGAAATAATTCAATGATTATACTTGGCACTTACTATTCAACCTGTGAAACGATCAGAATGCATAAAAATTTGAGTTTAAAGGATTAGAAGCTTGTCTCAGCATGAATTACAAATATTTAAGCTTTTAAAATTCACAGCTATTGATACAAAAGTCAGAGAAATATACAAGGCTTTTTCATTCTCAGTTTTTACGATACACCGGTCCATACCACAACATTTTACCTGCAAATAGAAGTGACACTCAGAATGTGTGTTTTATTTTATTTTTCATAACTCACAAACTATATTCCAACTTCTGTTAGCATTTTCTTCGAGACTCCAGCCTAATACCTAGAAATTTAAACCTTAAAGATTTTTAAACCAAGCTAGTTTTGAAAGGCAACTCTTAAGTAGCTGATCTTAGTGGTTGATAGGAATCGTTATTGTTCTGCTTTATTGATCAACTGAATATTAGTGATTACATTGTTTTACTGTTATATTGTTGCGTAGATATCTGGATATTGTTTCGCAAGTAAACTATGGTTGTGACAATCTCAAATGAAATCAGTGTCCGCACATTATGATAAGTAACTTGCATTCCAACAAAGGTCATTTAATCTGGTTTGGTAAGTCATTGACCGCAGATAAACCTCAGCAATTGAATTCAGAAGCGTTAACTGGTAAGAATCAACCAATGCGCGTCATTAGGAAGTGGTTAAGTAATATAAATAAATTAAGGGATGCTTAATAGAGACAGACGTTGGGAAACAATAGAAAACTTTTAGATCATTGACACTCACTGACAAGAGTGCTTGGAAATCAAATCTGTGAATACAGTACTCAAAGACTTAGATTTAAAATCTTGAAAGGGTAATCAGCTTTTGAACATAACGAAAATGACCTGCGTTTATCACTTCCTGTAAACTGTACCAAATACACTACACCACAATGCTATGTAAGTTATTTGGAAGATTAATATATTCTTCAACTGTCGAACTTTATGTAACACTCAGGGTTAGCAGGTTAGCTTAGATACTATGTCGAGAGCAAAAAGATTACAACTGTTGATTAATTACTGTCATCTAACATTATCATATCGCTTCATTGGCTGTATCTTATACTTGATCGTTAAGATCCAGACAGCGCTTAGTACATGATCTTTACATTGGTGACAAACCAACAACCAGACAACGTGAAATGATAGCTCTTAAACATGGTCATCAGGTACGAGAACAAAAAATTATACTTCTATGATAAATCATAATCTGTCGTTCGAATCGCACTTTAATTAAGACCGTTTTTTCTGCGTTAACTAACCACTAAAACTTCTTTCTACTTTTGCTTTGGTGAAACATCAGTCCAAGGTTAGTCAATAATGAATTTCAGTTACCTTTATTTATGAGAAATGAGCTCATAAATTACTTTAAACGACTTCATTTATGCATTTAGCTATTTTATTTAAAATCATCTTTTATGCATTTAAAATTACTTTTTGAAACAGTTTGTTTACATTTGTAGTTCTTAATTCTTAAAATGTGTGATTTATTGAAACTTTTCAAGTATACAAGTTGTTGATCGCTTGCAGATCGGATTGATCATCGAGTTATGAAAACGCGCATGTTCTTCGGTTTACAATGAGATATGTTTTTCATTCCCAGTGACCGTTGAAAATGACGAGCTACCTCTTTCGATAATTGGAGACGAATCTTTTCGAAAACTGAAGACATTTCTTACACTGTTTAGTGGAAAATCTACTGTTATGAAAAGGGATGAATCAAAGTACTGAGACAACCTATTTGTTTAAAAGTGCACCAATAATAACGAACCCTTAATATCGTTTCAACTGTCCTGTGTTCTGATTCTTCTTCTTTCGTATATTTTTTTAATTTTCGTTATTACTTACTGACAATGTAAGAATAAACCCTGATGTGGGACTAGCTCAGAATAGTCTTTTCTTGTCTAGATGTCTTGTCCACTTTGTCACTATGACAACAACAACAGTGATCTATGACTAAACTATTAATTATGCTATCTGATGTGCAAAAGAAATGACGAATAACTATTGGACTATTATATCAAAAAGTAGGAAAGTGGCGTTTTGCAGGTGAGTGGATATTTAGATCCAAACATAGACACATTTTCAAAAAGAAATTTAGTTCATTTAATATAAAGGAAAAAAAGAACAAATGCAGATGGAACCAAATGGCATACCCTTTTTTTCCTGGATACCAACCAAATGCAGGTTTAAGTGTAGTTGGATCACGAGGTGTCAGTGGCCGATTATGCTTATCCCGATAGAATGCAAACAGACTCGTAGAAAATCCCTGTAATAAAGCCATCAAGTAATAATGTCTAAAACTTATGTAGAAAGCATGGTGAATACGCATATAACATAATTCAAGAATAACAGCGCATATTCTGCATAAATATTACTAACCATAAAATGTGAGACTTTGTTATAGATATTTAGCTAGTTTTTGGTAACTTCAAACATTCATAAAGTTGGTGATAAAGCTGATCATCTGATGCAGCCTAAAGTTGGGTAGTTGATACAAGGAAATTAGCACAACCTGTGATATCAAGAAGTTATTTTCCTAAATTTCAGAATCCATTATCTAAGTATTACAAGTAAAATGTATGAAAAGATTGTTGGTGTATAGCTACTACTATTTTTTGTTTCAACCAGCATGTATGAAATTGAGGGATCAAAGGCAAAGTCATAGGTGAAAGAGGTAGTGAAGTGATGGAAAATGAAAAGGCATCCAACATGACCAAAATAGGACTTGAGAAGAAAGATGAGATTTTTCACTGCCAGCTAGAACTAAACTAAGATCTGTAAATTTTAAAAAAGGCATTACTTCACCACATTTCTTTCCATACTTCGTTGTTTCTTTTTCTGATTCTTTTTGTTCTACCAGGAACAAAAGCAACTTGAAACATCATACTATTCTTAATATTTAATCATAATACACCAGAACTGGATCATCAATATGTTAAAATTTGCTGGCTGATGACTGTTAATAACACTGTTCGAAATCTCTTCCAAAAAGGCTATTAAAATTTATTTCGAGGTAGCATTCATCACTAACTGACATCCGCTGGAGAATCAATGAAAACCTGGGAGCACTGGACAGCCAGTTCCTTCTAGCATAGGATTCCTCAGCAGTATCCGTCCACGGTTCCTCTGGAGCCTGAACTCAGAACCCTAAGGTGTCGCGATGGAAGTGTTAGACATTCAACCAGTGGGTTAGATTTCGGTGGTCCTCACTTTCCTTCTTCTATCGATTCAAGACTATCTATCAGTCTTTGGTTGGCATCTGCTTTACTTCCAACTGGCTAACGTCACTGGTCACAGGCTGTCATTAGAACTTCACGATATTTATCTAGAAGCATGTCACTAATGAGCACTATACAGTAGTTTAGTTCCACGTCCATGAGTGCTTTATTTGTTTTAAGGCAATATTCATCATGGACTTCAAGAAATGAAAACTCATTTCATCATCACCTCTATTTTCGTATGTCCTCTTTTCCGTTATGCTATTTTCGTGTACATGTATTTCAGTGTAAGATGGTGGGGGTCGATTTGCAGGAAGTCCTGAACATTAGTTCTACTTTTATTAACATTCATCAGTGTGTGTCTGCTACCATGGGGAAACTGGTTTTCTTTTGGAGATTCAAACCTATGTCATTCAGTGGTGAAGTCAGAGACCTAGCCACTGACTAGGTAGCCAAAGTGCGAAACCTGATCGATAAACTTTAATCAGTGCTCAGGAATAGGGACTAAACAGCAACACCGGTTACTCACTGGTAACCGATTCGTGTTCACTGACGTGTTTGACCAGACAGCTGCTCATAAAGTCTTAAACTAATGGAATTCAGAGATGAATAAGTGTTGCTGTAAACACTGCTGTATATGATATATTACTGGCTTTTCTGACTAATTTTAGTGTTTCCACTGGCTCCAAATGATACCCATTTTATCCACTCAAATGAACTAAACATCTAACTCAATAAATACTTACCAGTGCATGCAATATCTCATGAGTTGTGACGAACAGTGAGCGCATTTTATCACTATATTCATGGCTTAATGTACCTGGACAAAAATTGATGTAACCAGCAACAGGGCTAAAATAAGAAGCAAAAAGACTATCAACAGTGCTTGAAAATGACTGTTTATAGTGGACGCTTATTGCACTATTGTTATTCAGTAGCTACATCAAGCGTTCCTGAAGGGGGTTCAAACAAAAACTAAACATTTTTTGAGCAGATAGAAAGTGTGATTGGTGCAGCTTTTCAAAATACATGTTTTTCTATTAGGCAAGTCAATATAGTAAGGAGAAAAATACATTTACATATGAACTGCCTCGTAAAAAGTATTCATATTATTTGGTGGTTCAGTGATAATTAGCACAGGGCATTCGCCCTCGACACTGATAGAATCCGACCACTGAAAGAATGAACTGTAGTTGCTAAGGTATGTGATGCATGAGCACACTGTATTATTGTCTAGGCGAATACGGGCAGCTAACAACATAACCTTAATTCAAGTTTCGTACACCTTTCTTTTCCTTAGAAGTAATTATGTGTGAGCTCTTGGTGACTCAATCAGTTACTGTACTCACCATCAGACTATTTTAACCTTAATATTCATGTATTACAAGGAAACTAGTTGTGCATAACTTTCACTAAATATGGTGAAACTTTTAGTTTTCTTACATTAAATACCCGATTTTTAGTTGACCCAACTGGTCATGTCTCTTTGTATTTTTCTCAAGGTAAAAAGTAGTAACGTATTAGAGCGACATAATTTCAAGGGAACTACAATTAACTGTCAACCAGTTCTAAGGTCTACTTTACAGTCATTTTCTGGCAGAAGCGATGGATTTGTTTACCCAGTTTTCTTCACCCAAGCAGATGAATCATCAGTATAGTCTCGATACAAATAAGTAAAGCTCAGTTATCTATGCGGACTGTCTCACCACCCTAGGATCTCGTTTAGAACTTCAACCGTTCAAGTCCTAAGATCTAGAAAGCGTGCACAAAAGGGGAATGAACGAAGCTATGGAATCTAAATGCGAAATAATCTACTGTTTAAGAAAAAGAAAGTAAGCTTACCGATCAGTGTTAGCTTCAAGTTGACAATGTGCAGCATAACCCAAAACTTTTGCAGTATTACATCTGTGGGTTCCCAAAGATGAAATATAGAGTATGAAGTTAGCGTGATATACACCTTCTCCTTTATGACCCGATATTACAGATGTTCCATTGTAAATAAACCTACATTGCTAATATCAGCAAGAAAAATTTCTTCATAAATGTGAAAAGAAATGTACATTAAGATGCGATACTGGAATGTTTACAGGTCCACATTTTGTCCACTCCACACACCCATTAGCACAAAAAGTTAAAAGCTGATCATTAAACATTTCGAGCTTCGTGAGACCGTCAACGCAAACTCTACAAATACCAGACAAATATATGAATTAAACGTACCTTTCAAGTGTAAGCCTACTAGGTGAAGTCTGAAATTGACGTAATAAAAGAGCATCTTCCCAGAAATTAATTGCTACTTCAATTATATCCTTCTATGACGATATATATATATATATCTCAATTCAGTAGACGGTACCTTGATATGGAGAAAATTTCTAAGAGATTTGATCGATCTATCATAGTGAGTATGAATTCTCAATTCCGCTGGTACGCTACGACGACTAATTCGTCGATTATTAGGAGACATCACATGAGTTGCAACTTCAGAAGTGTTTATCATACCATGATGACATATTGTAGGAAGGTGACTACTTTTTACATCACAGAAGACTGGATAAATCCCGAAAACTGAGATCAGTATAAGGTGCTTTAGTATCCACATATAAATTTATACAGAAGTTGTGAACGAGTCGTAAATTTGTCCATCCTAAAGCACAAAAGAAAGAATGATACAAAAATGAAATTATAAGAATATTCTTGATTAGAAACATTAAGAAATCAGTGATAAAAATGATGTCCAGTAACGGTCTGATTTTGGTTTACAGATCTTAACTATTCAGGTTCATGGAATATGACTAATATATTTTTCCCATGATTACTGAACTAGTCTGCTAAAGAATTCCAGGTGAGAAATTACCTCTTAAGTTTACGAAGAGATTGCTCAAGTTTAAAAGTCAAACCCACTAGATCAATAAAAGAAGCCATCAGTGGGATCAACAGTATTGCAACTATGCGAAGAATGACGTTTGGAAAAGTAAACATAAATAACATGAAATTCAAAGTCGTCGAGCTCGTGAGTCAGCGTCAAAATATATTGAACATCCCCAAAGAAAACCACTGCTTTGAAAATTACCTAGCAGTCTTGTGACAAAATGAGAATAACTTTCAACTGACTGAATATAACTGTTTAACAAACGATTGAAGTTTCCTCCAGGGTAGTCATTTTTACCCAGCATGAGTAATAATTATCTCTTGTTGAGAGATGACTGGAGAGAAAGGTTAACGGTCAGTATTTGCGGTCCTCATTCATCTTACCCCTGATAGCTGAAGCTAACTGGTTTCTCTCAATATGAATCTAGTCCTTCTGATTTATTTTCGGGCTTCTCATTGACGACGTTACTTATTTTTCATGATTTAAAGAAATCTACTAACACCAATATTTTGAATCTGAAAGTTTGGTACAAACAGCTAACAGTCACAATAAAATCGATAAAAAAAATTCAACTTACCGCGACCTTGAGGACATATGAAGATTACTGACAGAGGAAACAAGTGATAGACGCTAACAATTAGTATTCAAAAGATGCAGAGAGTGATTGTAAATAAGTCGGTATAAATACCTGTCATCTAAAAAGATAACTGTTTCAAGACAGTGATTCCAGTTATCCTGCAAAAATATAAATGTACTACTTTTTCTCCTAAATAGTTTCGAAACAACTCAGTACCCCATTTATTGTGTTTTTATTCGAAACAAAAGCTGGGTATCTTATGGATACCAAGAAATGAACCACCAAAATAAAATAATATTAATATGAAGATATAAAGCAAGAAAAGACAAAGTTTAACAAGATGACCAAAGAAGTACTCTCATAAGATGAATTCAAAGGGACATTCAGTGATTCTGTATTACGTTAGCTAATTAAGGTTCATGGAATGAATAGAACGTTCATGACTGGTTTTGGTTCTAAGTCGTATCTTACATCATCTCAAGCCAGTGAACTACATTATCCACGGGACGTCCTATAGGAAGAAGTAATGCAGTGATATATAATGAGCTAGAACAACTAACCTTTGTTTAGTGTCATCACATCACTGACAGCCTCTTGACCTCTTCCGTTCATTCACAGAGGTACAAAACGGTGAATTGGATGAAGGCTGATGGAATTACACGCATCTCAGTCACAGAATCTGTTATGTTAAGACGGTTTCGCCTAGAGAATAACCGTTTTAAAAATCTTAAGACAGTTGCCAGCCAGCTTCGTACCCACCTGAGTGATATTGCCACAACATGTAGACTCCTGTGGAGACAGAAATAGTCGAGCACAGAGTGGTTCAGAAAACACAAGTATCACAGTTACCAGGTGGAAAAGTCTTCACTGAGAATTCCAAATTGTACCACAAATTGTTTGGAATAAAGTGAATTATTATTATTGAAACATTTTACTCTTTACTTTCTACATTCAGGCTTCTCCCAAAATGGTGCCAAATGTGGCTTGTTTATTCCGCTCTATATGTGTACATGTAGTTAGAGATCTCACTGATCAAATATTTACCACCACTCAAATAACTACATGGACGCATCGACTTCCCAGCTGCTTTCAGTGGTTCAGACTCAAGAGTGAATGCAGGTACAAGTCACGGTCAGTTTTCCTCAAAGTAGTTTATAGTTTGAATGCAAAGCGCATGTCATTCTTAGAGAAAATGATCGTCAACTGATCAAATAAGATTTAAGTAGAGTTTACTTTTCCGTAAAGTAAGACGATATTGTCTGTATACTCGAATTGGAAATGTTTTCTGCGAACCACAAATCTCTGTCAGATCCATGTGCTTCATTGACGGATGCCTGAAGAATGGTATTAATGGCCTGATTTACATGCCTTAGTGGAAACCTAAAAGTGCCTTCTTATGTTTCACATCACAGTCAAACATAAACTAGAAATAAGACAAGCAGCTCAATAAGATGAACAGGCTTTCAGTTTCATGACACAATGCATAGATCCATTTTGTTTGTATAATAGGTAAACCCTATCATTTGATCTTCATATTATAGTTCATAAAATTTGCAGAGTTAGATTATCTCTGAGAATTTCCATTTGAGACGGTGCAAGGGAACCACATTATATATCCATATGAAAAATCGGGCACACAGAATGTACAAAGAAATAACCTTGTCAACAAACATTCTAAAAACTGAACACAATAATGCTAAATAAATCTCAGTTGCTCACTTTTCAGCATTTTGGTAAGAGATAGCAAGCTGAAGCACAGCTACTAGTGACAGGGTTGTCGAATCGTCTTCGGTATTTTTCTAACTACTGAGTACTTTAGTCTGTGAATTATCAGAAAACAATAGTGACTGATGGACACCAATCAAAGTAGTTTTCTTATCACCATAAAGTTAGTAATCCGAAGACTTTCACGCTATTCTCGGTACATCAAACTATCTGTGAAAAACGTAATCATAGAAATACCAGGTTGAACTTTTCCAAGCCACCATGGTTGGTCCTCAGAAGTAAAGCAGAAAAAGTTCCCATTGTGATTGGGAACTAATTACTTCATTTCGATGCTTCATGATTTTCCACTGAATATGATCATTCATAAAAAGATGAAAAAGAGTGATTTTCGCGGATGAAGATTTTTGTCTAGTATCTGATTTCGTACAAGCTCAAAGATCTACAGGCGAAGACCAACAAATTGACGGAAGAGGCGAGGCAGCGAAGACGGGACTTCTTTCAGGTGAACGTAAAGAAAAGCGTTACGAAAAGCATTTCCAACAAACTACAGACGTTCATCAATAGCTGCCTACGCTTGCTCAATACTGAAGACCAGATGGCCAGAATAATAAGAAAAAGCAACAAGGAACTCTGGCTGGTGACGAACCAACCAAGAACCCATCACCCAACAAATATGCAGAAGGAAGTGGAGATGGACTGGACATATACTGAGAAGACTATTTAGGGACATCACACACCAGACCAGGCCATCGAGTAGAATCCAAATGGGAAACGATGAGTTGGGTGCCCGAGGGTGACATGGAGGGGATCATATAAGGAAGAACTGAAAGCTTGTGGTCAGTCGTGGAGCGAGATTCAAAAGAGTGCAGACAAGAGAGTGCAATGGAGACGTGCTAATGAAGCCCTATGTTCCACTAGGAACCTAAGGGGTAAATAATATACTACTAATACTTCAGTTATCTCGGATAAATCAAAACCACTTCAAGGCAGTCTGTTAAAACCTGTGGTTTACTCACTGGAGGGCTGCTAATAATCTGGATGACAGCACTGCCAAAGGATATCCGTAACAGAAATACAGTAGGATTTAGATGGAAAATCGTAGACTAGCATGCACATTTATGCAGAACACTGGGGTGAATCGCATGGTATTACACGCTGGTGAACAAACCGACAATTCATTAGTATATAACGGTCTAATATTTTAGACGTTCACCATACTAACTCTGAGATGGCCATCCTAATAGCTCCAAAATTTCATATTAATTGGTGTAAAATGGCCAGGGTAACCTCATAAGAGCTGGACACTGAAAATACAGAGGTGTTAAGTTACGTACAGTTTAAGCCCTTTGAAATCAGGAGCTTGAAATCTAATCAATATTTAGGAAACTACGGCATTCATCAAAGAATATTCAACTAGTGTACCGATAATCTATTCTCCAAATCAGCAAACCTCTTCAGATGTTCGTTTTTAGGGTGTAGGTTTCCCTCTTATTGGAAACGATTGGTAGTGATTTTAAAATATCGGAGTGGAAATAAACTTATTGCTTCTAACTATAAATAAATCTTCCAGATCTATTCAGCCACAGTGGTTATGTGAAAAGTATTGAATGATTCACTTCGCGACTATTTACCAATGACTCAAGCTTTTACCTGGCAGGTTACGTAACACGAAATTGTTAATAGCGTAAAATAACTAGACTCTCTCGGTCCAGCAGAAAAGGGAAATTGTGAATGAGGTACTTAGGTTCTCTGGAGTGATTAGCAAGGTTGTTTATGATATACTCTGTAATAAACTTCAGCCTAATGGTATAAATGGAAAATGACTCATATGGCTTAAAGATTACCTTAGCAATCTGCTTCAGTCGGTAAGATTTGGCTCCTCCCCGATGTATCTAGTTCCCGATACTGAGTTGGGTGCCTTAAAGCTCCACTTGAGGCCTACTTTCGACTGCCGCTTTCACAAATTGCTTAACAGAAGACCCAAACTGTAACTCATAAGTGTATGCTGATTATCTGAAAACTCGAAGGGAAATAAAAGTATCAACGATTATCTTTCTCCTTCAGTAGAAACCATCATAACTCATGAAATGAACAGGTGAAAACTTGCTCCCTATCAGTACTAAGAAGTGCAAGATAATGGTAGTAGACAAATGTAAGTGTTATTCTGTTTTCTACTACCTAGGCGACACTTATCTCAAAGTCAAACATCATAAAAGATCTTGGGGTTATCTTTAGTAACAGACTTGCAGCTCATTATCGCTGTGTCCTTGCAGTGAATTAGGTTCATAGATTTCTGCGGTTTCTTTCCCAAACATTAATCAAACAAACTCCATGATTGTCATCGACAGTGCATGGAATCTGCATTCATCCGTATGTAGAGAATAACTGACCGCAGTGAGACGTTTTCAGTTGGTATCTGTAAACTGTAGTACTTCCTTCTTGAAGTTGTTACAGTCCCTCCTTCTGATGCTCTGCAACAAAGGTTAGATGTCCGTGTAAATTTCTGCAGTAGAAATGGGCTCTGTTCAATAAGCTTGGATAGCACCACTACTAGAAAGAGGGTGAAGAGTAATTTATCAGTTATCTCTGTCATTTCGGTTTTCTCAGAACCAGAACTGTGACTGCTTTAACAGGAGGTTGTACAATAACACAGACGTAGAACCCAAAAAAACCATCGTTTGCTATTTCTACACGACAGATTTCGAAGTTAAGACAATAAAAGTCATTTGCCAATAATAGCTTAAAGTATGAACTTATGCTCACCAGTAAGAACAACCCTCCAGATCTTGACACCGCTTCTAAAGAGAAGTGATGACGTCTGCAAGATTTTTGAACCATTATTAATCAAGAGAATCATTCTGAGAAACCTAGCTAGCCACCAGTTTTCATACAGACAGTGTCCTGTTAACCCCAGCATTACCTAAGCAATCTCTGATTCATATTCATGCGACAGTTTAAAAATAGAAACTTTCATCAATACTGACTGAAGTTAGTTTACTGATTAGATCAATCTGAGGCACTTTGTCAGAATGACAGACGAAGTAAAGACGATCTGGACGAGCTGAAGAAGCTCGAACTAGACTTACATAGGAAAAGTAATTTTTTGTAATTTCTTAGTTCAAATACGCTGAGATTTTATGTTATCCTGGAAGGTGTTGGCCGACTTAAGTTTAATGACGGTGCACTCATAATGATCACTTTATGGGAAGAAGACTGAAATCTACCACGAAAAGTTTAGTGCTAAACCGCACCACATACAAACGTTTGTGATATATATATAACTCCAAAGAATGATCCGAATGCAGATACTAGCCCATGTAGTACTGCACTTCATGCGCAGACAACTAGGTGCCCTGGCCCCGGAACTCTTTTTGAAGTTGTACAAGATCTACATACGACTTCACTTAGAGGTCCACAACGTCATTGCACCACCATATCTTAAAAGAGATGCCAACCTCCTAAAGAAAGTCCAACGGCCAGCAAAAATGGTTTTGTGGGAATGAGGCAAAAACCCTGTGAGGATAGGCTGCTCTCTAAGCTACTGCAGATTATATGGTGACTTCATAACGGCTTACGAAATACTAAGTAACGTAAGTCATCTGAACAGTGGAATCCTGCTAAACGGCCACTATGACTATCCTTGTGGTAATTAAAGAAGAGTCGCTCATCAAAGGTCGAAAACCCGTGTGAGGTCACACTTCTTTTCTCTGCGAGTTTGTAGCCACTGGATCGCATTGCCTGCCGAGATTTCTACTGCTCCGTCTGCTGACAGCTTCAAGAAGAGGTTAGACAGTTACGCAGCAACGCAAGGTTTGCGCTCATCCAAGTGTGATATGAACTAGGCTGACACGACCTACTAACTCACCACGGTCAACCCATTATTGAATACTTTGTAACACCACTATCACTGGGAACCTGGCTCAACCTTATGCTTCCCTGTAGACGTCCTCCCCAGTTATCGTCTTCTACTAATAGAATTGCTGTCTCCGTTCCAATCCGTCCTATAGTGTTATTTACTCCTCTTCATAATGACTTTACTCTTCCTTTTTCCTAACCGTCTTTTTATTTCTCCATTTGTTTTTCGCTGCACTTTCTCTCCCTTGATCTCTCTGGCCGTGTTTTCCATCTCATTTTTACAGCCAGTCCCACTGAGTGTCTGTTGATGTGACACTTGAGGAATCCATCTGCATGGCAGTTTTGGAAAGAAAAAACAAACAAACAACAACACTGCCAACAAATTTAAACAACATCCATCCGCCCGTAGGGCTAACCAGAGCTACAGCAGTCGAGTGGGTAGACCTACTGCATCGGAATCCACCAAAGACGTGGAACCATTCCGCAAGACCTAGAAGCGAGCTCGAAGAAATAAATTGGTTTACATTAGCTCGTAAAAAGATATTGGAACACAGTATAAACGTAGATGAGTAGAAAAACCTAAAGATGTTCAAATACGGTGGCCCCTCTGCAAAAACGTAATCTGAATGTATGCAACAATAATATACATGTTCTTACATAAGTACTACCTTTGTATCACTTTTGACGAGAGGATCGTGTGCGGAAATAGCTGATGACTTTTAAAAAGCTGCCAAAATATGAAAACACATTAGATGCATAAGCCGTTATCTTGTTATTACATTTAAAAAAGATCGTTAATTGCAGGTCAAGATGTATTTTGCTTTTTTATTGTTTGAAGCGATATTCGTTTTACCCACCAAACCAAATTCTATAACACGTGAATTGGGATTGTTGCTATGTTTATAAGATGTACACTTATCAAGCATTCAAAGCATGGTATTACACAAGTCTAAGAGGATCACTATATCTGTCGTTGGATATCCAGGTTCAGAAGCAGGTACACGTCAGCATGTTGGCAAATCTTGCTTAATCAGTCGTTTTATGGCTCCATCTAGATTTAATGAAAACCATTTATCAGTACTCAGCTTATCAGATTATGATGGAGAAGTAGTTTGCTCTAGCAACTGGCTGTATTGGGGCGAAAGCACTGTAGGTATCGACGGTAATGTCTCACATCTCAGAATAATCGAACAATGTGATTTTGTGGATGATCATCTTTTCCAACCCCTCTTTAAATCACGTCCATATGCAGAAAGATGTTTGGATTGCGAAATATCACTCCACTCAAGAAAGCTATCGTACATTTGCAAGGAACAGCTTGGCCACGAATCAGCTTTCCCTCAAGTTTATCTCGATCCAACAACTTTATTCATTGATGTCTTCGTGTTTGCATATGATATATCACTGAGCGGCTCTTCAGCATTGCAACAAGCTGCTTTTCTAAGACATTTCATATCACGCCTATCTTCTCTTAAGTTACCTGTAGTCTTTGCAACTACAAAGCATGACTTGGGTGTATCAAATCAAGCGTCAACCTTGTTCAATGAAGCTCTCGGAGGAATTAAAAGACGTTGGATAAAAAATGTCTGCATTGTGGAAACATCTTCCCGCCTCAACATAAATGTTAGTACTGTTTTCCAATGTGCTGCATTCTTTGGACACCATAGAGATGCTATCAAGCATAAACTGCCTACTGGTTTTATACCTAGTCCTTTTAAAAGACCAAATAACGACAGGAAATCGTTTTCAGTATGTTTCAAGAAGTCCCTATGGTGAGTTTTGGTGAGAAAGATTGAGTTTTCCATTGAAGTACATTTCACACATGTACTGTTTCATTTTTTGTGAATGAGAAATTAACTTAACTAGCTTTTTACAAATCTAGTAACACATCCTTCAAACCATTAACTTGAACCGCAGAAAACTAGTCCATGTCATCTTTCTCGACTTAACAGCTTCCGCACAAATTCCTACTCCATAAGGTCGCATTAACAGGTATAAACGAACCTCTGCTTTGATCCAACGCGCATCCAGAAGGCTCAGTCCTACTCAAAAGTGAACAGTACATGATCCATGTGAAGGCCATTGATATCGAGGTTATCCCAGGGAGCAATCCTGGGGTAACTTCTGTTCCTGTTGTTCACCAGTGATCTCCCATGCAAAAACTGTTGTTTGAGCATAGGAGGCTTAAAGCCTATAATAATTCTTTTTCAGTAGATATCTGTCCTTGTCCAGTCCTCTTTTGAACGAGTCAACTGATGCTGCGGACACCGCTTCTAGTAGTTGGTTCCAGTTGATTACTTGGCGTGAGAACCAGTACTCTACGGGGACTACGTTCGTCCTTTGGTGGGTATTCTCCTGTTATGTCCTCTGATGTATACCGACCTAGCGGAAAGGAGTACAGAAGATAGACCAGGTTCAAAGTTATTTCTTAAAATCCAGTATAGCATGACTAGATCTCCCCTCTGTCTACGACAGCATAAAGGGAAGAGGTTCAGCTCCTTAAGTCGATCTTCGTAGGTCAGGCTGACAATCGTAGGGATCATACGAGTGGCTTCCCTCTGAACTCTTTCCAAAAGGTGTGTCACCTTTCGGACAAGGATTTGCCTCCTGTATACAGTTTTCTAGTTTAGATCTAAGGGTGTGTATAAGATGGTGAACATATCACCACATTTTTGTAAACGATCTGAGCAATGTCCAGTGTCCTAAACCCTAGGCTGCAATCAACCAACAGTGTACTGTGGTCTTCAAATCGTAACTGTGACTCCGAGGTCATTGTGGGTCATTACTGAGGACAGAGGAGTCCCACCAATATTGTAGGTGTCATCTGTGTGCCCATGTGCATGACCACACATTCACCGGTGTTAATAAGCACCAACCACTTCTCTGATCACGTAGAGATGTTTAGGTCTGTCTGAAGTACATATCCTCGTCATCTCCTAATTACCCGCCAGACTTTTACATCATCAGGGTAGAGAACCGTAAAGGATTTCGTAATATTCGGAAGCTCATTTATGTATAGGATGACTAGCAAGGGATCCAGGACTGTGCCTTGCGGCACTTCACTCTCTACCGACTTCCAAGAGGAGGGTTGGGAATTGATCCTTACTTCTTGTGTCCTGCTCACGAGAAACTCTCTGATTCAAACAAATAGATTGCCACTGAGTCGGAAACCATCCACTTACCCGAGCAACCGTGAATGAGGTACCTTGTCGAACACCTTACTAAAGTCTATGAAAATGACATCTACAGGTATCATCCTTAGACTTGACTCAACTTTCTCTGAACGAGAAGATTCGCCAAGCAAGAGACTTCTGCGAATGCTTTCTTGATTACTCTTTCTAGAACTTTAACCACATTACCAGTCAAATATCGGTCTGTAATTTGATGGGTGCTGCTTAGAACCTGCTTTGTAGGTATGACTATGGCGTCCTTCTACTCATAGGGATGTGCCTTTACTGAGAGACACTAAATATAGTAGTCAAAAGGCCAGCTAGATAGAGTCCGAGTTCTCTGAGCGGTCTTGCGTGCAGTTCATCTGGTCCTGTTAACTTTTCTACATTGAGAGTACTTAATATCCGAAATGCATCATTGTGATCGATATTCACAGAGTTTATTCTGTTAGATGTCAATGCCTCTACTGTTGAATTAGTGCCCACATAAGGTTCGTATGTAACGACCTCAGCAAAATATCCAGCCATAGCTTCTGCTTTTCTGTATCGTCTTTAATTAAACAGTCAGTTTCTGTTCTTTTGGTTAGGATGGGTGTACCGCGATACGTCTTATTCTTATAGTTCCCATAAGAAAATACCTCTTCGGATGTTGCAGTGCAGCCTGAACAAGATGTGTTTCACAGCATGTTCGAGACCAACGAATAGCAGCAATACATTTATTTCAAGCTTCTTTGCAATGCTTCATTACGTTGTAAGTATCAACACTTTCTTGTGTTTTGAAGCAAGATTCCGATTTCGTGGTTTAACAACGGAGGACAATTTTTCCGTCCCTTTGGGACAGTCCATGGAAGGAATGATTGAGTCACTCGTACACATAAACGTTTGAATGAGCACCATGCGACCTCAACTGAGGCTTCTGGAATGCCTGTCCAGTCCTCCGAAGAGGTTGTCATACCCGCTTTCCATACATTGGACCTCGCTGGGGCATTGGTCTGGTACAAGATGACTGCCGTGAATCTGATGGTGATCTCTTTTACCAAGGGACACTAGGTGTAGGGTGAAGCACATATCACCCGTGTGCGAGAATACTAATTCAAAAACTGATGAAGCATGTTGATGATCGTATCTGATTGCTGCCCCCAATATGCTGTATAAGGACCAAAGAAATTAGTGTCTTTACGAGCCTGTAATCAACCAAGTTACGTGATGCTTCTGTTGTTAGTCTATCCTAGTCAACTGATCGTGTGTTGAAGTCTCCTACAACTAGGCATCAGGAGTTATCTATCTAGAGGGTCAGCTTATTCAGGAGGAAGTCTTCTGCCTCACTTTCAGGGCTTCGATATACTGAGATTAGGTTAACATGTCCCTCGCATTAGTCGGCAGCGTAACATTTCGCATGTTCCACCTTCATGCGCAACCGTTCCTATGACTCTTACAGTCAATGTATTCTTAACGTAATGATACCGCCGCCTCTGTGTGCTAATCTATGACTTCTAAAAGGAACGAATCCCGATAAATGTTTTTCACTGTCACTGATCTCAGAAGAGAGCCAAGTTTCTGTGATAGAAATGTCACGACTTTCTATGCTTATTACATTATTAATCTTAGACCACTTGTTTAGGAGGCTACATGTATTTGTGTACAAGGTGATAAGACCACATAAGTGGGTTTTCGCCCTATCCATAAGGGCTTCGACATCATTTGTTGCCGAAACTTAAGTACACGAATACTCGCCATCTTTAGTTTTTTCTCTGCTGATGCCAATCTTGAGTTCTGCTTCTAATTTTTGATTCGACCAACAAGAGGCAAATCCTTATGCACGAACATTCCAATTCCTTCAAGTTTGAGCGTCCTTCAGAACCTGATCCCTCTCCTCTGTTGATTTGAACATGACTTTAAGTAGCGGAAACCTGTTTTCGGTAGGGACTATCTTTCTTTCCCACCCTACACATCTTGAGTAGGATATTTCCTAATGTTTTCCGGTAAAAGCTTGTTTGCCAATCTTTGTACATTACCAGTGTCATATTCGAAACGGTTACGTGGTTGTGGCTCTCTTTCTTCCGCTCTTGAAGATTACAGACCTTTCATGGAGCTCTGCTTCATCTTTACTTTGTAGAGTGATGACAATTGGTTCTATGACCGTTAGTAGGTTTTTGGCATGTTGTTTAGTCTTAATTACTTGCTGTTTCTCAGAGTCGGATATAAAAGGCTGACTATAAAACCTAGTTCAGTGACCTTGACGCTAACAGCCTTGGAACTGATCTTCATCCCTTTGTGTGCAATTGTCGTCACTAATCGGGTGGCCGGACTGGGTAGGACTTGCGGCCTGGATAGCTCCTTGGTTGGCACTGAGTGTACTCCACTCCACTCTCTTTATCGGAAGTTGACCTAATCTTACGGTCGGTAGTTTTCAGACTGGGTCTACCAGCTGTAGGGATGCGAGAACCCGAATATACTCGCTTCACCCAACTTTGTGCAGCATTTCCCAAGTTACCGTCAACAAACCTCGTGGTTACTCTACGCGCCCGAATTTCAGTTTGTCGTGAGAAAATCTTAAAATTCTCCGCAGTAATCTGTGTGTTGACGGATGCTGTGTCATTATCCCTATTACAGTTTATGACTTTCCCTTCGGACTCCAGCTTCTTCGTGATAGTATTTAGAAGTCCTTTCACTTCAGCCGGTTCGCAAATATATGAGCAGCACGATATGCAAAGCCAGACACTCCCTGCAGTGTAATGTGCTGGGGGCGTAAGGCTTGTGCAATTATCGTGATACTAACTCTTATATTCGGAACACTGCACACCAGAAGCCACTAGGAAGTGGCATCCCGCCCTACCACAAGCACTTTTCCGACACTTTTTGTTGACCATCTTGCAGAGACTGGAGACAAACTTGAAAAGACGCATTAAAAAACAAAAAGCTATGAGAAAACCTTACAAAGTGTATCAGGAGAAAACTGCTTGCGCTGGAATAAAACAATTTCTTCAAACCAGGGGATAATTATAAGAAATTCAACCAGAAAAGTTTTCATTTCACTTTAGTCGAAGATTATTTTAGTTAAGGCAAAAGTACAATAGGCTCTGGTTTACAAGAATCTAATTAAACGTCGAAAAGTCACTCCCTTTTCAAAAGCGCGCAAAACGAATTGTATCCAGGGTGGATATCGTTTATACTTCCTGCGCAAGCAGCTTGATGCTCTTACTCCAGAACTATTTCTAACAGTTTTCAAATCCTATGGTAACGAGTTCACTAGTTACTAGCCGGTCCTTAGCCCGGATGAACAGGGAAGGTTGGGAAGAGGGGTATCAACCCTACTCCGGAAAACCAATTCAGTCGCTAAAGAAACTTCAAAACACAAAGAAGATATAAAAAATAAAATTGAACTTATTCCTCGGTGGAATCGGAGAGGCGAAACGACGCCAGTTGGTGAAAGCCTTTGGGAAGTAAAAAGAATGGAAGTGGACTCTCTCAACTGTCAACTGGAGATTCAGTAATCTACTTCAATATTGTCACCCAGACGACAACCACAAGCACACTGAAATTTGGAGTGGCTATCATAATGTCCCCAACAGCGTCGAAGGCTCTCATGCAGTGGGAACGAA